AGGCCTCTCAGCACTTTGGAACTGTTAGAGCTGCAAAACCTGGAGCTCCCCCAATCTTATTGAGATTCAAGACTCAAAAAGATTGAGGCCTCTCAGCACTTTGGGACTGGGAGCTCCAATCTTTTAAAGATTTTGAAGCCAAAACGCTGGGAGGCCCCAAAAGACTCAAAAGACTCAATCTTTTGGAGGTCTTGGGAAACTAGCCTAAAAATCAATAAGATTGAGGCCTCTCAGTGTTTTGGAATCTGGAAGCTGCAAAACACTGAGAGGCCTCAATTTTTCTGAGGTTCGGGATTCCAAAAGATTGAGGCCTCTCAGTGTTTTGGAATCTGGAAGCTGCAAAACACTGAGAGGCCTCAATTTTTCTGAGGTTCGGGATTCCAAAAGATTGAGGCCTCTCAATGTTTTGGAATCTGGAAGCTGCAAAACACTGAGAGGCCTCAATCTTTTTACGATTTTGAAGCCAAAACGCTGGGAGGCCCCAAAAGACTCAAAAGACTCAATCTTTTGGAGGTCTTGGGAAACTAGCCTAAAAATCAATAAGATTGAGGCCTCTCAGTGTTTTGGAATCTGGAAGCTGCAAAACACTGAGAGGCCTCAATTTTTCTGAGGTTCGGGATTCCAAAAGATTGAGGCCTCTCAATGTTTTGGAATCTGGAAGCTGCAAAACACTGAGAGGCCTCAATTTTTCTGAGGTTCGGGATTCCAAAAGATTGAGGCCTCTCAGTGTTTTGGAATCTGGAAGCTGCAAAACACTGAGAGGCCTCAATCTTTTTATGATTTTGAAGCCAAAACGCTGGGAGGCCCCAAAAGACTCAAAAGACTCAATCTTTTGGAGGTCTTAGGAAACTAGCCTTAAAATCAATAAGATTGAGGCCTCTCAGTGTTTTGGAATCTGGAAGCTGCAAAACACTGAGAGGCCTCAATTTTTCTGAGGTTCGGGATTCCAAAAGATTGAGGCCTCTCAGTGTTTTGGAATCTGGAAGCTGCAAAACACTGAGAGGCCTCAATTTTTCTGAGGTTCGGGATTCCAAAAGATTGAGGCCTCTCAGTGTTTTGGAATCTGGAAGCTGCAAAACACTGAGAGGCCTCAATTTTTGTGATTTTGGTTATAGTTTCTCAAGACCTCCAAAAGATTGAGTCTTTTGAGTCTTTTGGGGCCTCCCAGCGTTTTGGCTTCAAAATCATAAAAAGATTGAGGCCTCTCAGTGTTTTGGAATCTGGAAGCTGCAAAACACTGAGAGGCCTCAATTTTTCTGAGGTTCGGGATTCCAAAAGATTGAGGCCTCTCAGTGTTTTGCAGCGCCCAGAGTTCCAAGGTGCTGCGAGGCCTGAATTTTTTTGGTTTTGGATACAGTCTCCCTCGACCTCCGAAAGATTGAGTCTTTTAAGAAACTAGGTCTTTGGGAACGCCGCTCCATTCGGGTACACCCCGCCCCGACCCACCCTTGCCTTTCAAAAAGACCAAAAAGGGTAGGTCAATGGGGGGGGGGGGGACCAATTTTTTGTATTTTGGGTTTCCTCATGCTCCTGCGGTCACGATTTCGATACCATCATATTGCTCGACTCCGTTCTCGCACGACGCCAGCAAAGAAAGCCGCTGATTTTTGTTCAGTTCTGCTTTGTTTTTTCTTTTCCACCTTCCCCGCTGCAACACGAGAACAGGACGAAGCCGCCCACAGCGAGCGAACGACGCCCGTTCGACTAAAATGACGTTGTCCCCCCCTTCAAGAAGCACATGACTGAAGCGTCAAGGCAGGCCATAGTGCTCGCGCGACCGCTGTTAAAAGACAGTCAGATTTCACAAGTCTCTCTCGTTCGCACAAGCGGCCAGGAAGAAACGCCCGAGCGTTGTCTCGGTCTCTTGAATCAAAGGCATCGGAAATTTGTTTGTTGTCCTGGCACAACTTCTTGCGAACTCCGATGTATGAAACAAACTGTAGAAGTCGCAGATGACTTCCTCGTGTATCTGAAGCCCAGCAATTGCGCAGTCTCGCGATGGCCGTTCTTCCATGCCAGCATCCGCGCGGAGATGCCATCATTGTCACGCACATTCTGAGCGACGCGAGCCTCCAGAAGCGACTCCACCACCGGGAAGTGGCCCTCGCCATCAGCGCCGTACGACCTTCTTGGTCACGCAGATCTTTCTCGTGGCGCTTACGAGTGCGTCACTTTCCCACACGTTTGGGCGCTCGACCACACGAATCGCTGGGAAGGGTTGCGCGTGGCGCTTACCAGTGTGTCACCTTCCCACACGTTTGGGCGCTCGACCACACGAATCGCTGGGAAGGGTTGCGCGTGGACCGGACGAGTGTGTCACTTTCCCACACGTTTGGGCGCTCGACCACACGAATCGCTGGGAAGGGTTGCGCGTGGCGCTTACGAGTGTGCACTTTCCCACACGTTTGGGCGCTCGACCACACGAATCCTTGTGAAGGGTTACACTCCCGATCGATGATGTCGGTCCCACCCTGGCTTTAAAACAGATTAAGTTTTCAGATTAATTAATATTTACTTAACTAATTTTTATTTAACAAAGAGTTACAGAATCAGAATATTAACATATTATAGAGTTATTATAGAGTCAGAGTATAGAGTCAGAGTAGTCAGAGTATATAGAGTCAGAGTACAGAGTCATACAGAGTCACGGTGTTGCAGGATCACAGTGTCATAGTGTCAATAGAGTCCGAGTTTCCAAGTGTATATCATCACTATGTATACTATGCACTGTATGTCTCTCAAGCGCTCCGCACGGAAGAGCCCTTCGCGATGCTTTCGGGAACTAATCCGAACTGATCTCTCCCGAATCAACACCCAGCCCGAAGGATCTGCATTAATGAGCAAACCGACTTGTCCCTGCGCTTAAGTCCAAAACCCTACCTTCCCCACGTTTAAGTCCAAAAGCCTTTTTCCCGGATGAACACCCAACCCGAAGGATCTGCATTAGTGAGCGAGAACCAGCAAATGATTGCGCGTCCCGACTTGTCCCTGCGTTTAAATCCAAATCCCTACTTTCATTGCGTTTAAGTCCAAAAGCCTACTTTCCCGGATGAACACCCAACCCGAAGGATGTGCATTAGTGAACGAACAAATGATTGCATGTCCCGACTTATCCCTGCGTTTATATCCAACCTGATAGGGGCCACGAACCCGAATGCAGACACGCGTAACGCAGATATCGCATTCCCTAAGGAAAATAGCCGGAGAAGGAATCAGGGCAGCACGAAAGTCGTATCACCACGTTTGCACGACGAAAGAGACATTAGATGGATCCCGTGAGTGTACTGCATCGCCGGCATGCCGGATGATACAAGGTCATGTTTGTCCTGATGCGTTGTTATGTTTGTTTTCCCATTTTCATCGCAAGCAGGTAGGAGTGTCGAGCGGTGACGGCGTCAGAGCGGAGTGAGGTTGTCTCCTGACAGAAGGATCATGCCAGAACGTATTCGGCGAGAACCTGGCACCATCACTCTTTGTTAAGGACCTCCTGCGTGCCTCATCTTGAAGCAGTTGGCCTTGTGGACTTGTTGGCCTCGAGTCTCGAGGATACACATTGTAAGCATGAATGACACGTTCAAACGCGATGAACACTTGCGGTCTAGACATGTCTGTGTTGGCATTGCGCTAGAACCAAACAGTTCTATATGGCGAAGCATGCGAACATGTCAAGGTGACGATGCAGAGGGATCATTGTTCACGTAACCTGGGGCCCACACGAAGATCGCGGATCTGCATGGCGGTGAGGACATAGAGATATAACCTCAGTCGCACAACATAAGGAACGATACGAAAGACGCAAGGTGGCTCTACTGCAACTATCTCGCGCATCCTTTTTTAAGGCACAGATAGGAGATGTGCGTCACGTCTTGGCGCGACCCAGCACGTGCTGGGGTCGTCGCCTCCGAGCCCGCACTGCCCGGACAAAATTAAAACACGCTACGTCTCTGCGCAGAGCCGCACATGCTGGGGTCGTCGCGAAAGGGCTCCGGCGGCGGGGCCCCTCAGGCATATTTGCCGGGTTTGCCACCGCCTCCCAGCTCGGAGACCGTGCCGACGGCGAAGTGCACCTGCACAGGAAGTTTTTTTTGTTGGGGGCTACTTTGGGTCGCTGAGGCTCAGGTTTGGGGCTTCGGTTTTTTTTTGTGGCCTGGAGCTTCGGCCGCCAAGCCTCCCTGAAAGGAGTGGTCTGGCCGAAGTCTCCAGATCTGGGAGTGGTCTGGCTAAGATCAACAGCAAACCCCTCACCGCCAAACCTCCTCCGAAGAGGAGTGGTCTGGTGAGGGTGCTGCGACCCTAGCCGCCAAGCCTCCCGATTCTTCTTATTGGCTTTGGGGTTTTCTATATCTTGGTTGGCCTGGACCGTAACCTGCAAGCTATTACTATCGTGCTCCCCCCAGCTTAGACTCAATGTCTGTAGGATCGAAGCGAAATCCGCTGCACGACCCAGGATCGCCGCGAAATCCGCTGCACGACCCATACGGTTGAGTTTGCGACTGGACCAGCGGGGCTCCCCCCAGCTCCGCATGAGACGGTGCTGCAGTGCTGCACAAACGCTGGTGGATGCACGTGTATATTTCAAAGCCCCTTTCTCCCTCAACCCTAAACCTCGAACCTAAACTCTAGAGCCCTAATCCCTTGCAGGCCTCGGAGCTTCCGGGACCATACAGGTCCCCCCTTTTTGCTCTTTGAGCTCACACGGCTGCAGCACACACGGATCAACAACAGACCTGCAACAAGCATCCTAAGCTGACACGAACAGAGCTCGCAACGAAAACCTTGCAGACACTTCACAGATGTTCGGTCCAGGAAGACCCTGCTTTTCTCTGCTACAGGAGCCCCAGCCCTTGCAGTTGTTGCACTAGTGCCTAATTGCGGTTTTAAAGCTGGGATATTCCAGCTGCTGGATCGGTTCTGAGAAAAGTTAAGCTGGGATGCCCGATCTGATGGGAACGATCAGGGCCCAAACGGCGATTCGACATCGCTTGGCCCGGCAGAGCAGTCTAGTTCAACGCTGCAATGCTTTTGATCAGCTCCTGCACTTGCAGAAGGGTCTGGGCGACTTGCTTCATCACGTTTCTGAAGCCAGTCTGGGAAGCCTTCCCGCTGAGCTTCACGTGCTCAAGCTGGGCCTGCATTGGCAGCAGGCTCTCCCACCGACAGTCAAGCTGCTGTTTCAGGCGGCAGTAAGTCACCGAGTCCGGGATCTTCTTCCACTTGATTGTTGCCGTCTTGGCAGATCCAATCCAGTTCAAGGCATCCTCCACTTTGCCTAGGGTCTTGGAGTCTGCAGGCAGGAGATCCACGGCCCCGTCGCAGATCGCCAGAGGTCCTGGAAGCACTGCCGGGGGTGCAAAGGTGCTCGGGATCGATCCCGTCTGGAGAGGCTGCGGCTCGGGCACCCGCAGCGACAGCGACTCAGGCCGCACAGAGTCGCTGACTAGCTCCGGGTCAAAGTTGTCACAGAAGCTAAGAAACTGGTTCTCGGCCTCTGGGGCGGACTCTGCTAGCTTCTTGTGACCGGTCTCGGTCCTCACACCAGTGCTAGTCGTCACTTCCAGGGACCGGAACTTGAACATCTGCTTGCCATTCTCAGTCGTGGCTTCAATGTCGCCATCCCTGAGTCCACGAAGGAAGTTCTCCTCCCCGGCACACTTGCCAATCATGATGGCTTTGGGGTAGGCTTTGTCCCGGGGCTCCAGTCACACTCGAGTAGCTTGTGGTGAGGGCCTCAAACACAGCCGGCTTAACAGCAAGCTCCCACTTGCCGTTCTTGGAGACGACGAGTCTTGTCTGCACGACTCCGCTCCTTGGAGGCAAAGAGCTTTTGAACACTCTCGGGCAGCTTCTTGAGGTTGGCCTCGAAAAACCTGGTTTTCCTCTTGTCCCTTTTCTCAGCCACCTGGAGCTCCTGCCCGTCCCGGGCCACCTCTTCGGCTTTGGGCTCCTCGTCTGGCACGAGGTCCTCTGCCCTCTTCTTCAGTCGAGCAGCTGCAGTCAGCTTCGGTGCCGGCTCTGGGTCTCCAACCTCTTGCGAGTCCACCTCAGCTCCTGCCTTCGGCTTCTTGGGAACGGGGGCCTCGGCCGTGTCCACCTCCTTCTTGTTCTTCTTGGGCTTGGCAGCCTCCTCTGGCTGGTCTTCGTGCGCGGAGGCAGGAACGCGTATTGGGCTCACTATTTTCGCACTCTGCAAAAGAGGGCTGCGGTAGGTCGGCACAGTTGGCTCAAACCCTCTAGTCTCTACACAGAAGCTACTACCTAGGTTTCCTAGTGTAGCTTACAAAAATCTCGCACCCCCCTTAGAGGTAGGGGTTTGAGAGGAAAACACCTCCCGCGGGGCATCCCGCAGCCGGAGGGTGAGACGCCCCTAGAAGGGCGGAGCGTCCCGCACTCAGGGCTGTGAGGCTCGCCCTGCGGTGCTTCCCGCTAGGGGCCTCTAAGGTGGAGGAACCTGCAGCGCCACGATTGTGGCCATGAGCGCCGAGCTCGCAAGCTTGGTCGGCGGCCTCATCTTCCAGGGGCTAGCCTGGATGGTCTTGATCGTGCCCTTTTGGGCCAGAGCCTCGGTGGCCCCTGCGACTGCATCGAGGTCCACCATGCCCATGGAGGGCAGGGATTGCCGCACCTCCGGTCCAGTCTTCGCGTGCTTGGTAGCGAAGTTTGCCGGATTCTCGGTTCCCTTAACTTTTCTCAGTTCGAGAAGTTTGGCTCTGAGCGCGCCTTGGACATAAAATTCCGCGACTTCCAGGTGTCTGAGCTTAGACCCTGGGCCTATTCGCTTGGCGGCTCCGATCCAACCTGCGGAATCTGCCCAGAGCCGCGGCTTACCGCAGGCCAGGGCGAAGTCTTTTTCCGCAAGCTCTCGTAGGAAGACGGCCTCCCTTGCTGCTCGCGACACTCCCCGGATCTCCGCGTCCCCGAGACAGGCAACTATGTTGTCTGTGCTCCTTCTCGTCTCTGGGCACCCTGCCCAGTCGGAGTCTGAGTAGACCTCCAGGTTCAGAAGGGCTGTGCTCTTGGACGTGGGGTCCAGCACAACCACTCTTCCAAACCGCGGGGTTGCCCGCAGGTATCGCGCGAGGGTTTCCGCAGCAAGGCAGATGGCACTACCCACAGCGCTGCGGAACCTCGCGGCGTCACCCGCAGAGAGCTCCTCGACCTTGGTCAGGTCTAGAGGTTTGCTAGGCACGGGCCCCTTGTCTTTTGGCCCGATGCCCAGCTGCTCGCACACATTCTCTGCGTGCTTGCTGTCGGGCAGCGTGAGGATAGAGTCCTCAGTGCGCACCTTGGTCCTTCCTAGTCCTAGGACCTCCACCGCTGTGCCCGGCTCTTCCAGTTCTCCCACCGTTATCTCACAGTGCTGTGGCAGGTCCAGCTCAGTGAACTTCAGCACTGCGGCCTTGGGGCCTGCGACACGGATGTCGTCGATATGGTGGAGAAGGATCAGGCCGGACCGGCGGTCTAGAAACACACACCCACTTTGCCCTGAACAGCTGCGCCCCGCGCGGTACTTCAGACCGCAGCACAGGCGTGAAAGCGCCTCGGTCCCACAGCTTTCTCAGCTGCTCCTTGCGTGCTTGCTCGACCTGCTTGGGGTCGAGCATGCGGTCTAGCAGGTCTGTCACCTGCCCAACCCACGCGTCCCGCTCACCTTGGTGGTTGGTGAGCGGCGGGTCGGCTAAGGCAGCGATGTGCTGCCACACCTCGCGCTCCGTGAGCGCTCCTAGCCGCGGTGCCTTCTTGGGCTCCGTGGGGCTCTTTGCTGCAGGCGGCTGCTGTGCTGCCGCTGCGCTCGCGGAGGAACCCGCAGAGTCGCGCCCCCCTTCGCCTGAGCCGTCGTTGGCGGCTGGGGCGGGGCTTGCCGCTTGTTGCGGCAGCGCGCTTGCTGCGGCAGGTGCTGCCTCCACGTCGGACGGCTCGTAGTCCGGTATATCTGCGTTAGCTAGCTCCTCGGTGGGGCTAGCGTCGGGGAGCCTGCTGGCCTGTTCGGCCCCTTCCACAAGGAGGGCCTCGTCGTCGGGCCGCGGCTCGTCGTTGAAGAGCCAGGGCTCACCGGGCGGTTCTAGCCGCTCCACCTCCTCGGCCGGCGTGGCCAGAGGGATTAGCACCATCACTGGCTCGCTGCGCTCTGCTGGCGCTGCGCGGCCAAATCTGGGGTTCCAAGGCAGGCCGCACGCTTTGAGAACGGCTGCCGTCTGGTGCCGGGTCTCGGCCGGGAGTCGCCTGACGCTCCTCACGTTGAGTGCCCCTGCTCTGCTCCCTCTTCCTCTTCAGCTTCGGCCTCTTCGGCTGCTGCTGCCTCCATCGCCGTGTCCTCCACCTCCCGAGCTTCGAGGTCATGTTCCGGGATGTACTCGTAGTGTCCCAGGTCTCGGCCTGGGCTCGGTCTGCCGCCACCGGAGCCACCCGGTTTGTTGACCCCGGCGGGAGCGACACGGCCCTTTGTCTTCAGGCGGCTGTTGTCCACCGAGTAAAGGCTCTTTGGTGGGCCCGCGGGCTGCAGGTCGGGAAACGCCTCGGGCCTGCAAACGGACACACACGCCCCGGAGTCCACGAGAAGATTCCCCGACACCTTGAGGATTTTGTCCTCCTCTGGCTCGGTGTCGTGAGGCGGGGCAAACCGCACACCTTATAAGATGCGGTCGTCGCGCACCTGGCGCACCTGGCCTTTGCCGCCAGAGCCGCCAGTGCTTCCTCCAGCTTGGGACGCGGAGGGGCCCGCAGTCGCCAAGGAGGCTGTTGACAACGTCGTGGCCGCGTCGTCGGCCACTTGGGCCACCTGGCCTTTGTTGCCCTTGCCCTTTCCCTTGGCGTTAAACCAGCACTCCTTGACGGTATGCCCCGTCTTCCAGCAGATAGGGCATCTCTCTTTGCCGTCTCTGCCTCCTTGCTGGTTCCCCTTTTTGTCCCCTTTCTTGCCCTTGTTGTCGTGGTCGCCCTTGCCCTTCTTGTGGTCCTTGTCCCCCTTTCCTTTGTTGCCTTTGTCGCCTTTGCCCTTCCCTTCTTTTCCGTCTCGGTCCCCTATTCGGCCAATGTCCATGGCGTTAGGGTCCCTTCGGGAAGAGGCGGCGTAGCCCGCACTCGGGGTCCAGACCCTTTTGGCTTGCAAGTAGCTCACCACTACTTCCCTCACCTCAGCATAAGTCGAAAGACTCGCCACGTGCATAGCGAGGTGTTGCCGGAGAGCGTTGGGGCTCTCGGTCACCAGCACTGCCCGCAGATCTTCGTCTGCTAGGGCGCGCCCTGCGCCATACTCGGAGGCATAGCGGTCCACATCTGCCTCCCATTCCTGCAGAGCCAAGGAGAAGTCGCTCTCCTTTGGCGGGAACTTGGGCATCAGCAGGGTCCGCCTCCAGGTGAGGTTCTTGGACTCGTTCTCTGGGTTGTGCTCCTGCCACAGGAGACGCCAGAGCTCGAGGCCTTTCACTCCGCGCGCCAGCTTTACAGCTGTGGCGGAGTCCTGGGTCCAGCTGCCCAGCATGCCAAAGAGGCGGACACTCATGGTCCGCACTTCTTCGGTCATGGCGGCCATCTGGAGTGGCACCTTGCACTTTCGAGCCACCTCCAGCTCTGCTGGACACCCCTTAAAGGCGGTAGGGAGCCGCGTGCTTTTGAGCAAGTGCCCTCCACCGCTCGCCTGCGGGGCGTAGGGGCGGGTGCCGCCGGAGCGGCTGCTGCAGCTAGGCCCTGTTGCTGTCTCTGGGCCGCAAGCTCGCCAATCGCAGCCTGCAGCTGCTGCGCTTGGCTCTCCAGTAGACCCTAAGGGTCGCCACTTCCCCGCGCAGGGCCTCGACCACGGGGTCGGCCTGCGGGGGCGGATACGCCGGTTGCCGGCTCATTTCTTGAGGCGTCGAAGATAGCCTGGCTGATCTCGTCCAGCAAGGTCAGGGCTTCTCCGTACTGTTCCGCCAGCTCCGGGTTTCCCTCCCACGGGGCCCGCGGGCGGTTGCGAGCTGCGTGTCAGGAACTGGCACGGTCCTTGGCCCTCGGAGCTCTCCTCGGACTCCCGCCTCCTCGGCTGGCTCTGCGGCCGCCTCTGCGGAGGCAGGCGAGGTGACCCGCTCTGCCGGCTCCTCCTTCTTAGCAGGGGCGGCCCCGCTAGAAGAGGAGCTGCAGGAGCAGCGGGCGGGGCTTCCCGCTCTCCTTCGGAGTCGCTTCCGCCGAAGTCTGGAGTGTCTTCCCCAGGCACGGGGCCTGTGAAGACTGGCACCTTGGGCGGTGCGGTGTCCAAGGAGGATTCGGAGCTGGGCTCTGCACCTCCCTGGCCGGCACCCGCGGGGTTTTCCGCCGGAGTGCGCGGCTCTGGGATAACAGTCCCCGGGCCCTCTACGAGGACGACCGGGTCTGTACCCTTTCTTTCGCGCCTCTCGGCGCCTCGGGCCTCGGGGTTCGCGCGGGCCGCTTGCGAACGACCACCTCGGTGGTTCTTCTTCTTCTTCTTCTTCCCAGGACCTTGAGTGGGCTCCTGGGTCGCAGGCTTTCCTTTTCCGGACTTGCCTGCTGGAGCTGGCTTGCCCTTTGCGGGCTGCTCTGCTCCCTTGGTCTGAGCTGCCTTGCCCTTGGCGGGCTGCGCAGCTCTTTTGGCAGGCTTGCCCTTGGTGGGCTTCCCTGCTCCCTTTTCCCCACGGCGGGGGGTTCGGCTCCCTAGGAGCGTCGGGGCCTACCGATCCAGCTCCGCTACCATGCGCGGAGGCAGGAACGCGTATTGGGCTCACTATTTTCACACTCTGCAAAAGAGGGCTGCGGTAGGTCGGCACAGTTGGCTCAAACCCTCTAGTCTCTACACAGAAGCTACTACCTAGGTTTCCTAGTGTAGCCTACAAAAATCTCGCACTTCGCCCTCTTCCTCTGGCTCCGTTGCTTTAGAGGCTGCCTTGCCCTTTGCCTTTGCCTTTGCCTTCCCCTTGGCTTTGGCCTTGGGTTGGGGTTTTGCCTTGGCTGTGCTCTTCGCCTTCGCTTTTGCCTTGGCCTTGGCCTTTGGCTTTCCAGGCTTCGGCTCAGGCTCAGCCGACTCTTCGGGTGCCTCACCGGGTGCCTCATCGGCCTCAGCTTCGACTTCCTCAACCTCTGGCTCCCGAGCCTCCGGCTGCTCGTCTTCGACGTCCAAGCTGTCTGCGAGCTTGCTCGCTGCAAACTGCAACAGCTTCTGTGTCATGGCTGCAGCAGCAGCCACCGTACACGGGTCTAGCTTAACCACAGAACCGAAGCAGCTGCAGAACAAAACATATTTCTCGCCCGCCCCGCCCCCCCCCCCCAATACACGGATCGATATGCAATCTTGAAAATATAGTTAATTCATGAAAATTGACTATAAAATTTAACTAATTTAGAGTAAAAAATAATACTCTAAAAATTAACTATACACAATATTTAACTTAATTATATCCTGGCAGTAAATATCCTAATCGGAGCCTCTGGGGAGGCATTTAGACTCTTCCGGAGGTCGGGACCGTTTCGCGCGCGCTTTTTGCAGCACCGCCCTCTAGGAGCAGCCCAACGAGGCGTTTAGACTCTTCCGGACACGTTTCTCTCTGTGTGTGTGTGTGTCGGTGTGTTGTGTGTTGTTTTGCGTGTTGTTTTGTGTTGTGTGATGTGTTGTGTGTTGTGCGTTGTGTTGTGTGTTGTGTTGTGTGTTGCGTGTTCTGTGTTGTGTGCTGTGCGGTGTGTGTACTGCTGTGTGTGGCACTGTGTGTTGTGCTGTGTGCTGTGTCGGTGCATGTACGGCTGTGTGTGGCACAGTATCTGTGGAGGGAGGAAGGAAGGGAAGGAGGATAAGGCTCTGGACCACTGCGCGCGGTGCGGGTTGCTGCGTAAAATCTATAACCCCACAGTGATGTGGGGAATAATACAACTGTGAAGGCATGACATACATCATAATAATAAGAATAAGAATAAGAATAAGAATAAGAATAAGAATAAGAATAAGAGTAAGAGTAAGAATAAGAATAAGAATAAGAATAAGAATAAGAATAAGAATAAGAATAAGAAGAAGAAGAAGAAGAATAATAAGAATAATACGAATAATAAGAATAATAAGAATAATAAGAATAATAAGAATAATAAGAATAATAAGAATAATAAGAATAATAAGAATAATAAGAATTCTAATAATAATTAATAATAATAACAATAACAATAAGAATAATAAGAATAATAAGAATAATAAGAATAATAAGAATAATAAGAATAATA